CTTCATTATGACGTGATACTTTTGTGAATCTGAAGGTCAAGTGCATGCATAAGATGTCTCTGAAGAAGCTACGTGTTTGCTGGCTGCTGTGGCCGTTTCTGTTTTGCGTTTAACGCTGTAGGACAGTACTGTACGTGCTCTTCGCGCTCCTCGAAACCCACGCAAAGCGCTGAAAAGGACAAGCTAGAGACAGTAAGTGCCTAGCTCTAGTAAAACAGTGGTTGTTTCATGGTTTTTAGTGTGGGAATTGAATAGTTCCTCCAGCTGTCTGTTGACCCTGCTCTGGCTCCACCAGTACGTGACAGCCATTGACTAAAAGTTCCACTGTGTCTGTGCTGGAGACACGTCCAAACCTCTCATGTTGCTGCTCACGGCTTCCCCGAGGTCACCTCTCTCACTCCTCAACATCTCACACTCCTCACACATTCACTTTTCCCCGTAATGTTTTATACAGTTCTGGTTTTCGTGGCGTCATCAGTTGAAGGCTTCAGTAAGACTACCATGTGGTGGCTGTCGATATGAGGTAGTGTAACAAAGAGAACAATGTTTATAATCAAAAGTTTCACCCTTATTCGTAGCCTATATAGAATTCAACCCATGAAGTTTTAAAAGACTCCTCACTCACCACAACCTATTCTATGTATGCTGTAACACCCTCAAGAATAATATTATGAAGATTCACGCAATGCGTGTTCGTCTTTTCCGCAGAAGTCCGTTCCAGACCACCAGTAATGAGGCCTACAATGTAGTGAGAGGGACTGGAAGGACAGCTGAAGATGATTATGAAGTACCACAAAACCTTCCTCCCCCAACCTCCCCATCCCGACCTGCAGCTGGGGACAACACCTATGAACCTGTCTGACACTGACACTCTGTGTGTATAAATGACGTTGTAGCTGAAGTATTATATTTTGTCTTCACCTTTGTTTTTACTCGTTTTTAATAATTGCAATTTGACATAATTTTTTTACATCGCACAGCAAAGCTTCATTATGACGTGATATTTTTGTGAATCTGAAGGTCATAGTGCATGCATCCCAAAGATGGCTCTGAAGAAGCTACGTTTGCTGGCTGCTGTGGCCGTTCTGTTTTGCGTGTACGCTGTAGGACAGTTACTGTACGTGCTCTTCGCGCTCCTCAGAAACCCACGCAAAGCGCTGAAAAGGACAGCTAGAGACAGTAAGTGCCTAGCTCTAGTAAATCAGTGGCTGTTCATGGTTGTTAGTGTGGGGAATTGAATAGTCCCCCCGGCCTGTCTGTTGGACCCTGCTCTGGGCTCCCACGAGTACGTGACAGCCAATGGACTAAAGTTCCACTGCGTCTGTGCAGGAGACACGTCCAAGCCTCTCATGTTGCTGCTTCATGGCTTCCCCGAGGTCACCTCTCTCACTCCTCACATCTCACACTCATCACACGTTCACTTTTCCCCCGTACTTATGCAGTTCTAGTTTTCACGGCGTCATCAGTTGAAGGCCTTCTGTAAAGACTACCATGTGGTGGCTGTCGATATGAGGTAGTGTAAAAAAGAGAACGATGTTTTAATCAAAAAGTTACGCCCTTATTGCGTAGCCATATATAATAGAATTCAACCCATGAAGTTAAAAAAATTTTGTAAGGACCCCTTTAATTGTGTAGCTTCTCTCTCTCCACAGAGGGTGTGGTCCTCGGAATACTCCTTCAACCACCTCACTGCAGACATTGTCGAACTCATCCCCGCCCTCGGCCACTCCTCTTGCATCCTCGTCGGCCACGACTGGGGAGGCGTGGTCTCATGGTGAGGGGTGTGGTCAAACTCCAATGAATTTGATTTAATTGCAGGAGAGTAACTCAGAGGTATCCGGAGTTGGTTGATAGACATATTGTCCTGAACTGCCCTCATGGAAGGTTCGAAATTTAATGTTAGTTGACTAATGTTAATGTGGCTTTCAATTTCACTATGCAGGGTGTTCAAGAATTTCCTTGAGAATAGCTGGACACAGTTGAGGAGATCTTGGGTCAGTTTCTCATCCATATCACTCTAAACTACTCCCCCGGCCCCCTATCCCTGCCCCCCCCCTCTCTCCCTCTCTCTCTCCCTTTTCTCCAGTTCATATTCCTGTTCCAGATCCCGAGATTGCCTGAGGCTCTGATCAGTCTCCAGGACTACCAGTTTCTGGAGCAACTCTTCACCAGCCACACCTCAGTATGTAGCCCATTGTAGGTCTCTTTTACTATAGGTTTGAGGTACCTTCATGCATAAGTGTCTTCATTCACACTCCGTTTTCTGTCAATTAAAAAGTTTTTTCTAAAAGAATTTGTTTAAAACTGATTTGTCTTCCAGTATAGGTGAACTGTTTTCTGCATGTTGCCTGCCACAGGGAGTCAAGAACAGAGATCAGTTCCCGGCTGAAGTGGTGGAGGCCTACAAGTACACGTTCTCCAGGCCAGGAGCACTCACTGGACCCATCAACTACTATCGTGCCATGTTCTCATCTCCCAAGGACAGCTTGCCTCGCGATAAGTGGACAATTTCTGTCCCAACTCTCATCATATGGGTACGTGACAAACATACAAACACTATAGAGTGATCCCAAGAGCCCAATAATCAATGTGCTCTATGCAGAACATGCCACCAAATTACGAATGTGCTCTAGAAAAAATCATATACCACTATGGTTTGTAGGACGAGTGCCCAGCAGTGTTTGGTAAGTGTGTGTGTAACTGCTGGTACAGGGAGATGATGATCACGTGCTGCAGAGAGAGATGGCAGACTGCCACGACACCATCTGCTCTGACCTGACTGTGAAGTTAGTGGGAGATTAGGTTGTATGACCAACAATGCCGTGTTTCTCTCCTCTCTCCCCACTCTGTCACCCTCTCTCCTCTCCAGACATATTCCCAACTGCAGTCACTGGGTCCAGCAAGATGTGCCTGACCTCTGCGACCAGTACATGACTGACTTTCTCTCTACTAAATCTGTTTCAATGTAGTTTGTGTACTACTGTTGGACGTTACACATCCTGTTATTATAAAGCTGCTAACACATGAGTATACGTTGATAAAAGTATGCCCGGAATTTTCTGTTTTCCATATATGGAGTGTCTTATCTCTGCTATCTATCAGCCTGCGTTAACTCAGTTGCTCAGTCGGTGGTGTGAGTGATGTGCAACAGATCAATGATGAGAATTGTGTCTCTGTTGAGTCTCCTCTGGTCTCTGGTGGAGGTCCACTCTCAGACTGTTCCTTATGTCTCCTTCATGAGCCAGACTCTGGCCAACCATTCCTATGTCGACATCAGTCAAGTGGGGAGACCTGACATTGTTGATGGTGGTGAAGGTGTTCAGTGTATCACTGACCTGCCCACATGTTGTACTAGTGGTGATGGTGCTCATCGTGGAGACTGGTACTTCCCTGATGGAACTAGATTGGTATTTCGTGGAAGTGGTGATATCTATGAGTTACGTGTATCTCAGGGAGTTGAATTACGTCGTAACACTAATGCTAACTCACCAACTGGGATCTATCGCTGTGATATTCCAACTGGTGCTGTCCATGATGATACTGACATCTCAGTGAGAGACACGGTCTATGTGGGACTGTATCCTGCCAGTGGAGGTAAATTTAATTATTGGCTTCTTGTTATTTATCAGCTAGCATGAATGCATCCATGACTTACTCCCCATGCATGCCTATTCCAGTAACTCATGCACTCACTTACAGTTACTTTTTTTTTTCCGATTAGCAATTAGGACCCTTAGGCTTTGGTTCTTTACTGTAGGAGACATCTCAATATCTGGAGGAGTGACATTTGACCCTAGCCAGCTGACCCTCACCTGTATCTCCACTGGTGGACCTGCTACCACTGTCACTTGGACCAGAGACTCCACCACTGTCACCCAAGGAACCCAGACTGTGTTGAATGACTCAGTGACTGCACAGTACACCCACACTCTGACTGTGACTACTGCAGGAGAGTACACATGTATGGTGTCTAACAACAAGCCATCTTCTGCGTCAGCTAGCTCCGTTGTAACAGGTAAAATGTCCGCAAATCGCTGTTTTGGCATGCAGGCTAAAAAACAAACGAATACTAGAGGAATGCAACACATTTTTGGCAAGTGAAGCAAGCAGCTCTAATATTTTGCGGCTGTTACGGTATGTGCCCCTGCATTCAGACAGGCTCACTTTGCTCGCCAATTATGTGAAATGTGGACATAGATGCACGTTCAACTCTCAGTGTTGACAGAGAGCTGCGGGTATATACTCTCCAAGTGCTTGTGAACCACTTAAGGTTTGGGCAGTAAAGTAATCCACTCAATATATTAATAGTTGTAAAAGTGTCACTATAGCCAAAGGTCGGCAGGTCAACAGCATGATTTCCTCAATACTACAAATTCAAATTTCCTATGGATACGTTTCAGGTCCCTATATACTTCCCAATGGTATAGTATCATTGAGTGCTTCGCTTTCAGGTCCCCAACCTCCCACTGATGTGACAGCAGTCCAGGATGGTCCCACTAGTATCACAGTGATCTGGACCCCACCTGATCCTCTGGATGGTATCACTGGCTACAGGATCTCCTACAATGGAGGAGGCAGCAGTGGTAGTGAGACTGTCAGTGGTGGATCTACCAACAGCTACACTCTGACTGGTCTCACCAATGGACAGACCTACACCATATCTATTGTAGCCACATCAACTGGCTTGTCTAGTGCACCAGTACAGGCCACTGTTGGTTTAGGTATGTCAAAACACTAATGTGTAGGTGTTTCAGTTTACGCAAGAATGCAAGAGCACCAACAACCTATTAACTTAGTGTATGTGTCAACAACTAGGTAGCAAGCAGGGCAAAAGCAGAGCAAACAAGTCAACTACGCTCAGGACAGCTCTTTTTTCCGGAGGAATCGAAGAGATGTAAAAAAGGTGAGAAAAGGAGGAGGAGGGGATCAGGGGGCAAAATGAGAGGCGAATGAAAAACAAAAGAAATGGGAAGCATGGAGAGGGTAAGGAAAGGTAAGGGAGGGAGGGGAGGGTGAGGAAGGGAGAGTCGATGGAGAAGCGGGGAGAAAGAAAGGAAGGAACAACAATAAAAGCAAGAGTGATAGGAGAGAAAAAGTAATCAGAGGTGGCGATGATAGAGAAGGGGGGAGGCGAGGGGGTAAGAGTGGAGATAAGATAGATGAGAGGTACAGAGAAGGATAAAGAAGGTATCTAGAATTATAGAGGGAAAAGTGACAGGGGCGAAGGAATGGGCAGGAGGAAAGGAGCGGAACAAGAAGGGAAGCGAAGGGGAAGAAGGGGGGCAGGACGAGTAAGAAAATACGGGTAAAAAACACGGAGAGAAAAAAGGAGGGTGAAGAGAGAAAATAGTAAGGATAAGATCGAAAAGCGGAAAATGAAATTGCCGGAACATACATGGGGGGGATGGGCTGAAGGGGCAACCTAGAATAGGTATGCAAAATTAGAAAGCCCTCCCCCCTCTCTTTTTTCCTCTTCTCTGCTCTTCATTGTGTAGTGTCTTTGTTTCCCACCACAGTTCCATGGACACTGGAGGACAGTTTGACTGCTACCTCCTATACCATCATCCTACTACAACACCAACACTGATTGTTTCACTCACTCAGAAGTGTATCTCTGCTAGTGGGACATCATACACCCGGATGGTCTAGAGGAGGAACTGAGTATTCTATCACTGTCACTGCCACTCTGACTGGGAATGAGGGACTCAAGAAGGCAGCACCACAGCCACCACACTGACTGCTGGTAAATATACCGCACAAGGTTCCCTCTCCTGAATCTGCTCTCCCATGCTCACAGCTCCATCTGCCCCTCCTACTGGTGTGGTGGTGAGAGTGGAGAGTTCCACTAGTATCACAGTCCAGTGGGAACCAGTGGATTGTAGACATAAGAATGGAGAGATAACTGGCTACTGGGTGAGGTATGGGGAGGAGGGGAGCAGCGAGGAAGCCAGGATTGTTCAGATTGTATCAGGAATGACCACAGTGTCTGGACTGACTAAAGAGACAGTCTACACTGTGCAAGTGGCAGCAGTCACCAGCTATGGTACTGGAGTCTACAGTGATCCTCTCACTATCCAGACTCCTGATGGTGAGTAGACTCTGTGATTATAGTTTCAGATTGCATATGCAGTGAGGATTACGTGATATTGAGTGGGTGAAGTAATGGTTAACCCCCCACTCAAGCTATACGGGATATACCTGAAGCCATTTTCAATACCGTCCGAGGGCGGAGCCCGAGGTCGGTATCGAAAAACGGCTGAGGGGATATACATGTACGATGGTGGCACGTGGTCTACTACATACTGAGTGGGCAGTTTTGATAAGGCACAGGGCGCAGCCTGAGTGGTCTATGAAAACTGAAGCCACGAGTGTGTAACCAGTAGACCACAAGCAAAGCCATCATACATCAAAGTGTTTGTATGATGACATCCAGCGATAAGGCTCTGACCAATGAGATTCCGCAAAAGCTTTCAAAACACCTTATTTTTAATTTTCTATACTGTGCACAAATGCTATTTTACATTCCACATGTGTGTTCGAACCTCTGCTATGCTCTTCACTCACTCCATCCACAGATGTCTTCCTCAGTCTGAATGGAGCTGTCATCCCTAATAATGGCCATTTGTACATCAGTGATATTGGTTCCACTGATGGCACTGCTCTACTCTGTATCACTAACCGTCCTCCACCATCTTCTGGCAATCCCCCTCATTCTGGAGGAGACTGGTTTGCTCCAGACAAGACCAGAGTAGATGATACTGATGTTCCAGGATTCGGCAAAAACAGAGGTCCTATGGTAGTGAGACTACTAAGGAGGGAGAGTGAAACTCCAACAGAAGGAATATATCAGTGTATAATAGAGGATGGTAGTACACTTGGGCTTAAGACGGTCAATGTGGGGCTTTACAACAGTGGAGGAGGTAATAATACTAATGATTTGCAATTGTTTTTTTCCAGTGTGATATTGGTACAGGAATCGTTACACTGTCTGGAGGTGTGAATTTTACTTTGGACTCTGATGACAGGTTTACCCTCACCTGTATCTCTACTGGTGGACCTGCTACCACTGTCACTTGGACCAGAGACTCCACCACTGTCACCCAAGGAACCCAGACTGTGTTGAATGACCCAGAGACTGCACAGTACACCCACACTCTGACTGTGGCTGGGAGACTGGGAGGACTGTACACTTGTACTGTGTCTAATGGCAAGCCATCTTCTGCTTCAGCTAGCATCACATTGCAGGGTATTTACTGTAATGTGTCATTCAGTAACAACATTGGCTAACTTTCAGATCCCCAACCACCCACTGATGTGACAGCAGTCCAGGATGGTCCCACTAGTATCACAGTGACCTGGACCCCACCTGATCCTCTGGATGGTATCACTGGCTACACCATCTCCTACACTGGAGGAGGCAGCAGTGGTAGTGTAGATGTCAGTGGTGGCTCTACCAACAGCTACACTCTGACTGGTCTCACCAATGGACAGACCTACACCATATCCATTGTAGCCACATCATCTGGCTTGTCTAGTCCACCAGTGCAGGCATCTGTTGGTTTAGGTATGTCATAATACAATTAATGTAGGTGTTTCAGTTTACACAAGAATGAAAGAGCGCCCACAAACTAGCGTTTGTGTCAATAACTAGGTAGCAAGCAGGGAGAAGGCAGAGCAAACAAGCCAACTACACCCAGGGCAGCTTGTCCAAGGAAAAAGAAGAGTTACCCTAGGTTTCCATACTCTCTTTGTTCCCACCACAGTTCCATCAGCTCCAGTCCTCGACTCAACTACAACAGTCACTGCCACTACTGTCATCATATCTGGTAGTGTTCCCAGTGGCTCAGTGGTGACTGGCTATGTGGTCCAGTGGCAGAGAGACACTTCAATTGTCTGTCCTGATCTGAGGGATGATGGTAGTGTCACTGTGGCTAGCAGTAGTTTCACTGGACATACAATAACTGGACTAGAGCCAGGCAATAGGTACACCATCACCGTGACAGTCTCTAATGGAGCTGGTAGTGGTCCTGTCAGTAATGCTGTTGCTGCAATGATTACTGCGACTGGTAAAGCACTGTATAATCCCCAAGTTCCTTACAATATGGTTGGTGTTACTCTCCACAGCTCCCAGTGGTCCTCCTGGCCCAATCACTCTAGTTACAGTCACACCAAACAGTGCCATTGTCCAGTGGGGAGAGGTGCTTTGTCTCCAGAGAAATGGAGAGATCACAGACTACACAGTTACTGCAACCAACTCAGATGGAATGGAAGAAGGAACTGCTAGTGTTGATGTAGACGCTAGACGAGCCACGATCTCTGGACTGACTCCATCCACACAGTATACTGTGTCAGTGGCTGCAGTCAATAGTGCTGGTACTGGACCTTCCACTACCCTCCCTGTAGAAACTCCAGGTGAATATTGCTCTGTCATCCCAACTTGCACACACTAAACAAAATTGGATCAACCAAGACCTGCCCAGACGATGTTAGTATACTCTGTGGTCGTCTCATTCTCCCCTCACTCAGGTGGACTGACTGTATCGGCCACTCCCTTCATCCTCTACCTCCCTCACCATCTCATGGACACTGGAGGACAGTTTGACTGCTACCTCCTATACCATATCCTACTACAACACCAACACTGATTGTTTCACTCACTCCAGAAGTGGTATCTCTGCTAGTGGGACATCATACACCCTGGATGGTCTAGAGGAGGGAACTGAGTATTCTATCACTGTCACTGCCACTCTGACTGGGAATGGAGGGACTCAAGAAGGCAGCACCACAGCCACCACACTGACTGCTGGTAAATATACCGCACAAGGTTCCCTCTCCTGATATTCTCTCCCATGCTCACAGCTCCATCTGCCCCTCCTACTGGTGTGGTGGTGAGAGTGGAGAGTTCCACTAGTATCACAGTCCAGTGGGGACCAGTGGAGTGTAGACATCAGAATGGAGAGATAACAGGCTACTGGGCGAGGTATGGGGAGGAGGGGAGCAGTGAGGTCCAGATGGTGTCAGGAGACTCCAGTGGAGGAATGACCACAGTGTCTGGACTGACTAAAGAGACAGTCTACACTGTGCAAGTGGCAGCAGTCACCAGTGGTGGTACCGGAATCTACAGTGATCCTCTCTCGATCCAGACTCCTGATAGTGAGTAGACTCTGTGGTTATTATGTAGTTTCAGATTGCATATGCATTGAGGATTACGTGATATTGAGTGGGTGAAGTAATGGTTAACCCCCCCACTCAAGCTATACGGGATATACCTGAAGCCATTTTCAATACCGTCCGAGGGCGGAGCCCGAGGTCGGTATCGAAAAACGGCTGAGGGGATATACATGTACGATGGTGGCACATGGTCTACTACATACTGAGTGGGCAGTTTTGATAAGGCACAGGGCAGGGCGCAGCCTGAGTGGTCTATGAAAACTGAAGCCACGAGTGTGTAACCAGTAGACCACAAGCAAAGCCATCATACATCTCAAAGTGTTTGTATGATGACATCCAGCGATAATGCTCTGACCAATGAGATTCCGCAAAAGCTTTCAAAATAATTTTCAATACTGTGCACAAATGCTATTTTACATTCCACATGTGTGTTCGAACCTCTGCTATGCTCTTCACTCCATCCATAGATGTCTTCCTCCATCTGAATCGAACTGTCATCCCTAATAATGGCCATTTGAATATCAGTGATATTGGTTCCTCTGATGACACTGCTCTACTGTGTATCACTAACCGTCCTGGTACTCCTACTTCAGGAAACTGGTTTGCTCCAGACGGGACAAGAGTAGATGATATTGATGTTCCAGGATTCGGCAAAAACAGAGGTCCTATGGTAGTGAGACTATTAAGGAGGGAGAGTGAAACTCCAACAGAAGGAATATATCAGTGTATAATAGAGGATGGTAGTACACTTGGGCTTAAGACGGTCAATGTGGGGCTTTACAACAGTGGAGGAGGTAATAATACAAATGATTTGCAATTGTTTTTTTCCAGTGTGATATTGGTGCAGGAATCGTTACACTGTCTGGAGGTGTGAATTTTACTTTGGACTCTGATGACAGGTTCACACTCACCTGTATCTCCACTGGTGGACCTGCTACCACTGTCACTTGGACCAGAAACTCCACCACTGTCACCCAAGGAACCCAGACTGTGTTGAATGACCCAGTGACTGCACAGTACACCCACACTCTGACTGTGGCTGGGAGACTGGGAGGACTGTACACTTGTACTGTGTCTAATGGCAAGCCATCTTCTGCTTCAGCTAGCATCACATTGCAGGGTATTTACTGTAATGTGTCATTCAGTAACAACATTGGCTAACTTTCAGATCCCCAACCTCCCACTGATGTGACAGCAGTCCAGGATGGTCCCACTAGTATCACAGTGACCTGGACCCCACCTGATCCTCTGGATGGTATCACTGGCTACACCATCTCCTACACTGGAGGAGGCAGCAGTGGTAGTGTAGATGTCAGTGGTGGCTCTACCAACAGCTACACTCTGACTGGTCTCACCAATGGACAGACCTACACCATATCCATTGTAGCCACATCATCTGGCTTGTCTAGTCCACCAGTGCAGGCATCTGTTGGTTTAGGTATGTCATAATACAATTAATGTAGGTGTTTCAGTTTACACAAGAATGAAAGAGCGCCCACAAACTAGCGTTTGTGTCAATAACTAGGTAGCAAGCAGGGAGAAGGCAGAGCAAACAAGCCAACTACACCCAGGGCAGCTTGTCCAAGGAAAATGAAGAGTTACCCTAGGTTTCCATACTCTCTTTGTTCCCACCACAGTTCCATCAGCTCCAGTCCTCGACTCAACTACAACAGTCACTGCCACTACTGTCATCATATCTGGTAGTGTTCCCAGTGGCTCAGTGGTGACTGGCTATGTGGTCCAGTGGCAGAGAGACACTTCAATTGTCTGTCCTGATCTGAGGGATGATGGTAGTGTCACTGTGGCTAGCAGTAGTTTCACTGGACATACAATAACTGGACTAGAGCCAGGCAATAGGTACACCATCACCGTGACAGTCTCTAATGGAGCTGGTAGTGGTCCTGTCAGTAATGCTGTTGCTGCAATGATTACTGCGACTGGTAAAGCACTGTATAATCCCCAGTTCCTTACAATATGGTTGGTGTTACTCTCCACAGCTCCCAGTGGTCCTCCTGGCCCAATCACTCTAGTTACAGTCACACCAAACAGTGCCATTGTCCAGTGGGGAGAGGTGCTTTGTCTCCAGAGAAATGGAGAGATCACAGACTACACAGTTACTGCAACCAACTCAGATGGAATGGAAGAAGGAACTGCTAGTGTTGATGTAGACGCTAGACGAGCCACGATCTCTGGACTGACTCCATCCACACAGTATACTGTGTCAGTGGCTGCAGTCAATAGTGCTGGTACTGGACCTTCCACTACCCTCCCTGTAGAAACTCCAGGTGAATATTGCTCTGTCATCCCAACTTGCACACACTAAACAAAATTGGATCAACCAAGACCTGCCCAGACGATGTTAGTATACTCTGTGGTCGTCTCATTCTCTCCCCACCAGATGGACTGACTGTATCGGCCACTCCCTCATCCTCTACCTCCCTCACCATCTCATGGACACTGGAGGACAGTTTGACTGCTACCTCCTACACCATCTCCTACTACAACACCAACACTGATTGTTTCACTCACTCCAGAAGTGGTATCTCTGCTAGTGGGACATCATACACCCTGGATGGTCTAGAGGAGGGAACTGAGTATTCTATCACTGTCACTGCCACTCTGACTGGGAATGGAGGGACTCAAGAAGGCAGCACCACAGCCACCACACTGACTGCTGGTAAATATACCGCACAAGGTTCCCTCTCCTGATATTCTCTCCCATGCTCACAGCTCCATCTGCCCCTCCTACTGGTGTGGTGGTGAGAGTGGAGAGTTCCACTAGTATCACAGTCCAGTGGGGACCAGTGGAGTGTAGACATCAGAATGGAGAGATAACAGGCTACTGGGCGAGGTATGGGGAGGAGGGGAGCAGTGAGGTCCAGATGGTGTCAGGAGACTCCAGTGGAGGAATGACCACAGTGTCTGGACTGACTAAAGAGATAGTCTACACTGTGCAAGTGGCAGCAGTCACCAGCTCTGGTACTGGAGCATACAGTGATCCTCTCACCTTTAATACTCCTGATGGTGAGCGAGTGTGTGTCATTTTTTTAATGCTCTTAACTTGACACTTGTCATCATGTACAATAGATGTCTTCCTCAGTCTGAATGGTGCTACCATTCCTAATAATGGCTATGTGGATATCAGTGACACTGGCTCCACTGATGACACTGCTCTACTGTGTATCACTAACCATCCTCCACCAACTGGTAGTCCTAATTCTGGAGGAGACTGGTTTGTTCCAGATGGGACCAGAGTTGGTGGTCCTGGTACTACTGATGTTCCAGGATTCAACAGAAACAGAGGTCCTATGGTGGTGAGACTGTTGAGGAACACTGCTACTGATCCCGCAGCTGAAGGAATATATCACTGTTTAATAGATGGTGCTATATCCAGTAATCTAGAAATCTCTGTTGGACTCTACAACAGTGGAAGAGGTATGCATCACAAACTGTGCTGCCTGTGTAACCCTCGGCGCGCATGCGCAGCGAGGGTTACGGTAGTTGGTTTGTCTGTTGTCTGTCTGTCTGTCTGTGTGTGTGTCGACGCTTATTCTGGCACTACAGGCCACGAGGTGGCTAATGAGCGATACCAACGGCTTCAGAACTACGCGAACCAGAAAACTTATTATGCGATTTTCCTGAAACGGCTGCGTTCGAGAGCGACAAACTGGCACGGTCGCGGACCGAGTTCCGTGGCCCAACCCATCATTAAGCGGTGCGCATGCGTATAGACGCGGTATGCTGGCTCTCCCTGATCCGCTTGCTCTATGTATATACCTTGGAGGCACAAGAAGCCACAGCGAAGGGCGTGTATCGACTCCCGCATGCTATCTACTACCGTAGCTAGCCCGTGTCAGATTCTCCGCGAGCTACTAGCGCGGGTAAACGTCAATAGCCCAGCCCACCATTAGCGATACCGCTCATGCGCAGTTCATTCCTCAGGAGATATCTCCATTCCTGGAGATGTGTTAGTGGAGTCTGACCTCAATGGAGCCAGTCCTCAGTTCACCCTCACCTGTATCTCCACTGGTGGACCTGCTACCACTGTCACTTGGACAAGAGACTCCACCACTGTCACCCAAGGAACCCAGACTGTGTTGAATGACCGAGTGACTGCACAGTACACCCACACTCTGACTGCGGCTACTGCAGGAGAATACGCTTGTACTGTGTCTAATGGCAAGCCATCTTCTGCTTCAGCTAGCATCACATTGCAGGGTATCTACTGTAATGTGTCATTCAGTAATAAAATTGGCTCACTTTCAGGTCCCCCATCTCCCACTGATGTGACAGCAGTCCAGGATGGTCCCACTAGTATCACAGTGACCTGGACTCCTCCCTCTCCACTGGGAGATACCACTGGCTACAGGATCTCCTTCACTGGAGGCAGTGATGTGGATATTGATGGTGGCTCTACCAACAGCTACACTCTGACTGGTCTCACCAATGGACAGACATACACCATATCCATTGTAGCCACATCTGAACACCTCTTCAGTGATGCCACCACATTTGAAATCACACTAAGTAAGAGAGAGATAGGGTCCTACAGTTCATCTAAATGTAATCCCCTATTCCAGTCCCAGCTCCAGGGCAGGTGTTTGTGTCAGTGAGCTCCATAACAGCCACCTCCATCTCCCTCTCCTGGAGTGTGTCCAGTGGGAGGGTGGCCAGTTGGGAGGTGGTCTGGAGACCCACTGACAGAGGCACTGAGAGCACCAGTGGTCCTCTGTCTGGCACTACCTACACCATCCTCCAGTTGGACCCCTCCACTATCTACACACTCACTGTATCAGCCACTAATGTAGCTGGTACCACTGACAGCACTCCCATACTTTTCTCCACTGGTGGTAAATGAGATTCAATAATGTTTTATTAACATTCGCCATATTATATTGCAGTGACTGATGCTAAACAGGCAGAGAGTACTAGCTGTGATTGTAACAATACAGGAGCTATCATTGGTGGAGTAGTGGCTGTGGCACTTATAGCTGCAGTGACGGTCATAGTAATTGTGATCCTGAGGAGTAGACGTTCAACGCCAAAGACTAGGTTGGTATGCCCAGCAAAACACTATAATTAAAGCATGGTATATACCAGCATTGGTATTACCAATGGTAGATTTTAGTAATAATCGCTCTTTTCAGAGGGTCAGTTGGTGCTTTGGCAACAACAAATCAATCAGTGGAGCTCTACAAGTTCTCAGAGCCAACATATGCGTAAGTCTTCCCATGAAACACTGTGAGATGATTTCTATACCACTGATGCCCACTCCAGAGATCCAGACCAGCTCCAGACCACCAGCAATGAGGCCTACAATGTAGTGAGAGGGACAGCTGAAGATGATTATGAAGTACCACAAAACCTTCCTCCTCCCACCGTCTCCTCCCAGCCCACCCCTACTGCTGCTGGAGACTCTCTCTATGAACCTGTCTGATGTGTGTGCGCGGACGAGAATTATTTTGCGCATGGTAG